TTCGCGCGTCGCGCACATTAGTGCGGAATAAAGAGCAATGTTTGGTTGTCTCGTTCTTTAAATTCGAATACGAGTAGCAGTAACGAAAAACAGGCGCCAGAGGCCCAGCTGGTTTTTGCCGAAATGCTAAGCGAATATAAAATTATTTTCGAAAAGAGGTACGCCGTGGTCGAAACGGAACATTTCAAAATTTGAAAAAACAGTAGACAGAAAAATTTCAAGTAGAAAAAAGAGATGGCATTCTCTTAAACGTCCTTCAGACTATCCAGCAACAATATTTCATCAAAAACAATTGAGTCCTTTCTGATTAAAAACAATTAACAAAATTGTTTAACATTATGTAAAAATTGTTGTAAACAAAATTAAAAATTGCCAATATTTTACGCAAAATTAAGCGAAAAACACTCAAATTTTCGGAAAGCTGCTTAAATAAAAAATGAAGCCATTGTTGAGACTATTTCGAAATTGTTGGTCTTCATGTTAAGTACTGCACAAAAGCGACATATCCATTTCAAACTCGCAGTGCCTCGAGCTCCTCCAAATCGAGGAGGATAAACAATTTTCAAGCAAACAGTCAGAAAAGTCTAAGAGTTAACCACACAGACGGAAGGACAAACAGACCAATGCCGCCCTATTAATTGTTCTCTTTTATTTCATGTGACCAGTGAAATATGAAACTTTTTGTGTCTATGGTTACACATCTACGTAGTTTACCAAAACGCAGGGCTAAAAGTGAATGGCTCTTTGATATATATTACTAATTTTGTTTTGATTCATTCACACTTTTAGATAAGTTTTCTAATTTTTGCCCTGGCTCAATGCACTACTCGCATCAGGGGCACGACGGCGCTGGATACAAGATAGGTATGGATATTGCCGGAAGTATAAAAAATTATAGTTCAACCACTTAGAAAAAACATGATGGCGTCGCTTACCTCGGGAGGTGTGTCTAAACCATCCCCCACTGCTCCCGAAGGGGAGCTCAGTTGAACTCAAGGACCGCCTGCAACGGTAACTAAATCGCTCTTGCGACTTACTTTTCACGCTTCAACACTCCAGGCTTCGGGACGTTCGTCAAGGCCACGCTGTCTTCTGCCCGGCCGCCCAGACCGTGGCGGCGCCGGCGGCGGTGACTGCTCAAGGCCGGCAAGTTGATAATCTAAGAAAGGGAACCTTCCCCTCTTCCATTTTTCGCGCATGCGCAGTCCGGGTTGTTTTCTAAGTTGTCGAGCTATAGATTGGCAGTGCTGTCCTTAGAAGCGAAGCCGTGCAGGAGAAGCTAAGATGACGGCGCGCGCAACGCTTGACTTTATTCATACGCAGTGGCAGATGGGGCTCCAACAGACTGGAGGATGCACTTCCATTGAATGGCGGAAATGCAATTTTAAAAATTCAAAATACGAATATATTGATGGGTGAAAACAGAACACTATAAGTGACGTTTTATAAATTCTGAGAAATCTGTTTATTTAAGTAAATATTACTGTGTGCACGCGGCGCTTTGTTTCATCATTAATACAACGGCATTTCAATTGTTAATTAAAACCATGAAAGTATATTTCCACTGAAATATAGCCTAAAATAAACACGATTTCTCAGAATGTATAAAATGTCAGTGATACCGTTCTAGTTTTCACCCATTTTGTAATAAAAATGTAAGCAATTCAAGTAAATTAATTAAAACTAAGTTTAAAAAAAGCCTATAATGAAACACGACTTACATAATTGTATGAGTTGTGTTCCTGTAAGGTGTATACACCTCCAGTGCACGTGCTTCTGGCTTTGATGTCCACAGAGCACTGAAGTTCTACTCCAACACAATGCATCTAGAACTATTGCTTTGACACGTTTCACACAAATAAAATGATTTTATTTTTAAAATTTAACTACCTTGGTATATATGGCAATAATGAAAGAGCTTCGACACAAATTCGTGTTCACAAGAACGCTCGCAAGCTGCTGGCCGGCCAGCTGCAGGCACACTTCCGAGAAACACCAAGAGACATCTATCCAGAACGGCCACCTTTACACAAAGAGCTCATCAAATGTACGTTTTGAATCAACAAACCTAACATTAAAAAAATCACCAAAGTCATAAATAATAATCATTGAATATCATCAATAATTGACTGAACATGTGTACATTCAATAACAAGAAAAAATCATAAAATTACGTTGCAGCGAGTCAGACGAACACAAAATATTGATGTTCTCCTGAGACTATTAATTTTTCGGTTAGCTAGTTGAAGAACGGAAATATTATTTTAAGAATTTTCAAGAACAGTAAAACCTCGTCATACGTAGCAATTTTGATCAAGAAATTTGGAGCAATTTTTAAGAAAATGGAGTTTAAGCGTTACTGTAAATTTGAAATTCCCCCTCCCCGGAAATATGAGTTTTCGAAAAACTTCATTTAAAGTCATTTGAATCACTTTAACTAACAAACGGAATCGAGTTTTAAAATTCCTGAAAATGTCCATATTAATGGCGTGACAGACATTAAAAACCACGTTCTTGTAATTTTAAAAGAATCCCCAAAATGATCTTTACATCATATTAAAGAGTGCAATTAGCACTATCCGTCCTAAAAGTTTGAAAAAAAATTGGTGCCGTCTCTGAGATAATGGCGTTTGAGCGTTTCTAAAAATGCGGAAATTTGAGCGAGATTTCATAGAAAACTGTTGAGATTTCGAGAAACTTCATCTGACATTTAAAGTACATGTACTCTTAATTACAATTTTGTAAACACATTGCTCCAAATATAAATATTAACGATGTGACATACAAGTCAAACAATAACTTTTGTTCATTTTTGAAAAACAAAAGAATAGAGCAATATTGCATTTATGTCACCTCATAGAGTACATATAGCACTATACGTATCAAAAGTTTAAAGAAAAATATATGTTTTTTAGAAAATCTTTTATTTTTTATTTTTTTTTAAATTGCACATATTACGAACAATATTGCTCGAAAACGACTAAAATTTTTAAGAAATGTACGCGACGTCAATGAGTACTAATTATGGGAAACAAATTTCATTTGAAGGAAAAATCTCTTTCTTCAATTTTGTTGTAGGAACTCGCCGAAAAAAATCACTCTTGCAATTATCGGAAATTTAGAGTAATCAGTGAAAATGTTACATATGCCACCAAGTGTATATTATTCTATTCATACAAGAAATTTAAAGAAAAAATAAAAATTTGTATTTTGGTATATGTGAGTGAAAGTGCTTTAAATGAAGTTTTTCTAAAACTCAAAAAGTTTCTGTGGAAATGAGCTTCAATTTTTAAATTACCAGTCGGTTTATGCGCCATTTTCATAAAAACGGCTCAAAAATTTTCAAAGAAAATTGCCATCTTGGATGAGGTTTTACTGTAATTTAATATTCTTAAAATAGTATTTATGTTCTAATTGGTAACCGAAAAATTAAGAAATTTTCAAAAAAAAGTTACTTAATTACTTTGGGCGGCGATAGATGGCATCTCGTAAGAGGCAAGTTCGAATATGTAGCAGAGAACAAAGGAAATACAAAACTAATACGGGAAAGGCTGTGCCACGTGTTATAAGTCCCATACCAGAATTACATTGCCGAACCAATGTGGCTACGTTGCTGTTCACGTTTTCGATACACCTTCTCAGACCTCGTTCCGTAAGGACCATTGGGTACCACATGACGTCGCTTCTGAGTTTTCTTAGGGCGCTTTCATCACATCAAGTTCACACTCACGCCATTAACTTCGCTTGGCACAGCACTTATTAGGCTGGAGCAGCCCACGCGAGGCGCGGGCAGCCCCATGCAGAGAGTATATTACAGCGCGCAGCCGTGGTGGCGGCGTCGGTCCGCCATGAGGGAAGGAGGCATTGTATTTTGCCAAATTTCACTTCACGAAGCACCTATTCAGCCGATTTATAAGGCGTTGGATTCAGGATACATTTGGGACAGGGGGCCCCAAAACACGAGTCGTTGAAACCTCAGAATTGATTTTCCGTAACATTACGTAACTTTCTCTATACTATATATATTACTCAGTATATACGTACGTAGACAACTAATGTTGTGATGCGGAAAATAGCGAAAGCGTTATCTGACAAATCCCAGTCGGGCCGCAAGAACATGCTTTCCCGCCTCGCTCCCAGGCCCTAGGAGCTGGCGCGCCCTCGCGCGGTGTGGCGGCGGGCCGCCGAGGGAGGAGGGCATTGTATTTTGTCAAATTTCACTTCACGTAACACCTATTCAGCAGATTTAAACGGCGTTGCATTCAGGATACACTTCGCCATCGCGCTATAAGCCTACATTTTTTAAAATTTCTTACAATTCCAGAACTTTTCCAAAACTCATTTTTTTCAGACTTCGTAGCGTAAGTTCTGTATTAAATACATATCTAATATAGTTTACTGATTGACAATCGTACCACTTGTTCAGATTCTGACGCCGTATTCCGATCTCACCCTGAGAACTGTTCTTGTACAGTACCTCCCCTAATTAAAATATCGGTTTAAAATTAAAGGAGCCGCGACGTCAGCAGAGCGATTAGGGAATATCAATTTTGGAGACAATCGACTGAACGGTTTAGCTGTTACCGTTGATCACAGTGACAGATGTTTTGTCGTCAATCGATTTTTGGTCACGAAGAACCCTCATTTGGCTTTCTGGCTACGCCAGGTATGTTTGTTTGTTTTTTCTTTACCATTTAACTGGATTTATCCACGTTTTTGTTATCAGGGTCCGGCAATATCATTTTCTGACGAAAATTTGCCCTTCTCCGGCGCCCGATTATACCTTTCTCTTCTTAATGGCAAGAAAGTGAAAATGACTTCCGGAGAACCGTATGCCATAGCATTGAGTGACTTGTACTATTACGTGTTTCCATTATTTTACATTTGTTTGTTTTGAATTATTTCATGCCTTTTGACGTTTTTTTATTGATGTTGCTTAGTTTCAGTTGAAATGCACGAAATTTTATCGCATTAGCTCTGAATTGGATTAAAACTCTTCATTTTTACCATTTACAAATGTAATTTATTTGGCACATTGCATACATTGATAACTCTTAAATTGGAAACTATTTCAAAATTTAATGCATGTATGAACACAATCTCTCATGTGATCCAATGGCCATAACATGCAATATTGCCACATAAACAAAAGCACTGGCGCACAGCTCAAGCAACAATAAATGTCTAGTAAAACAAGTTTCCTATCTTTCAGTGCACATTACCAAAAGCGCTTGTGTGCCTACTTGTGTGAATCTATGTGTAACAGGCCTCACAGGAGGTAGAGGTATTATTACAGCATTAAAATATGCACCAACCACATGAAACAGAAATGGTATATTTAATAGATATTTCTTATTACAGCACAGTAATGTAAAGGCAAATGAAATGCAGATTGTTTCACTCTACAGCCAACAGACAATTAGAACATAACCGATACCTTGTCTAAGGAATGTATGAAGCAATTGTGGTACAAAACAAGTCAGCAAATGGGGAGAATATAGCTTTACCTTTATTAGACACAACTTAATTTAATTCATACATCAAGAATAATAAACAAAAAAAAATATTGATTTATCTTTTGAAATATTATTTACAACAACATATTTGAATTACCCTATTTCAAAATGCAATTTAAGTAAAAATACTGACATGAGAAAAGATCACATGACAAATAAATTTCATTCCGCATTTTACAGTTGCACTGCCTGCACAGGTGCATGAGTGGTGCCATTTAGAAAGGCAGGTTGATTGAAAGATCGTCCTGACATCATGGCTAAACCCTGAATAGAACAAGTATCCTTGAGGGTTAACAGCGGTGTCTTAGTCACACCATTAGAATTACTGTTGGGAGGTGGAGGAGGAGGAGCTGTTCTCTGAGGTGGAGGTGGAGGCGGTTGTTGCAGAAAATGTGTCATATTGGGAGAGTTTCCTGTAATTGCAGGTGGTGGTGTACTAAATAGAGGGCTGCCATTCTGTGTCTGATTGAAATGGTAATTTCCATTTCCATTTTGTTGAGTATTAATTTGCATTGGATTGTTCTGGAAATTATCACCATTTGAAAATCGAGAGGGTCTGTTTCTGGTCATGCCAACTTGGTGAGTAGTAGGTGCTCCAGTCCATCTCTTAGCCTCTCCCCAATTGTTAGTACCACCAAAGGTTTTAGCAGTAGGTGGTCTCCTATTGAACGGACCATTCGTCCACTTTCCTCCAGCGCTAGCAGCAAAATAAGCACCTGAAATGAAAGATGAGGATGGTTGTAATAGAAATAACAAGAAACCAATAATTTTGAAATATTCTTAAATTAAATGACAACATATTCACCTCGATTGCCACCACGACGTGCCATTTCCTCCAATTTGGGATTAATAGATTGATTTGCTTCTCTCAGAACTGATACCAAATCCCTAGCTTGACGACTGTTCCCAGGTGTGAAAAATGCATATGAAGTACCTCGCTCTTGGTTTCGCCCAGTACGACCAATACGATGTATATAATCTTCAGAAGAGTTAGGATAGTCAAAGTTGATCACAAACTTGATACCTTCCACATCTACACACACAAAACATGATCAAAACAAACACACACAAGTTCTGTAGCATTTCAAAGGCAAAACCTACTTCATGTGCTCTCACCAATACAAACCTTATCTTGAATCTTCATCCTATGTAACTAACCCTACCATTAGTTGGGTATGTTATCACTAATAAAATAACTGTGAGCTTGACAAATAAATAAACCTCCAGGGCTATTAATATTTAACTCTACTATTTTCAACTTTGTAGGTCATCAAAGCCAAACCACATATTTTTAAAAGAGGAAATAGGCTACTAGCTCCTGGAGGATATTTCAGTTGGGATACATACAGTGCATAGACAAGTATGCGTTCTCATGTTGGTTTTGCGATAGTAGCTTCATTGACTAGGATATAAGAGACACACTGAAGAATTCCCTTGCTGGCGTCAAAACCAATGTATTTCATAGGAATTTGAATGGATTTTAATCCCTTCTCATACGTGGCATTTTCTCTGCCACCATTGTCAGTCAGTTCTCCAACTGGAAGGTGCAATAAATCTTGCCAGACTTAAGGATTCCTCCTCTCGCTCACACGCTTGCTCACTCTCTCTCACTTTACACGGGCTTGCAAAGCACGCAGAGGCACTGCTAGATGATATAAGATACTACAAAAAATATATGTACAACAAATCAACCATCTTGCATGTGCCTAGAAGACAAAACCAGACTGATCAAATGGATATACATTTAAATGAAGCAATAGCTCAAGAAGACTGGAATCTCAGAAGTAATGAAGTATTAGCAGAATTCAATATTTTTAAAGATTTTCTGGGTCAAAATAAACTTTCAAAATTTCCTGGGTCAAAATTCAAATGGACACTTCATAATTTTCTTCATAATTTCCAGTTTTCTGTTAACATGTCACAATTGAACTTCTTACAAGATGCATCAAGGAAAAATAGCATACAAAATAATTTGATAGTGTATGATAAAAATGTAAGGAAGTTCAATTGTGCACAATATTCTAATTCACAATTCTTGCCATTATATCAGCACTAGTAACTTCATGAATATGAAATGAACAGTGTTACTGATAAAGCAAGACTTCCCTTAACTGGTTTACTGGATATATGGTGAAAGTTTCATAGTACATTATTTCTTTGCATCAAAACCACACGTTTATGACTAATTTCCAACAATGTTCCAAATACATTTAATCCCGAAGTTACCTTTAATTGTGTTTAGGATACTCCCTGTTGTGTGTGCGTACTGTGTAATGCATATGCATGTTTTGACAGAATCTTCTGAGTTCCAATTTATACTCATTTTTAAGCTCTTTAAAACAGTGTAAATACCCAGTTAACTGGTTAAGAAGGCAGCCATTAACCAGTCTGGAGTTATGAGCTACTATCACAGCGCTTGTTTTATTGCTTACCAACACTAGCCCAAACTTTTGTTGTACTCACGTCACCTCCTAATGCTACTTTTTACTAAGGAGGGAACATGGACTTGCCTAAGCCTCGAGCAGCCACATCCGTTGCCACTAATATCGGTGACTTTCCATTCCTGAATTCTGCAATCATGTACATTTGATATGATCATAGTGTACAGTTACATTATATTTTATATATATATATANNNNTATATATATATATATATATATATATTATTTAAACAAGGATGAAAAAGAAAAAATGGAGTAAGGGAGTGGGAGAGAGATTCAGAAAGGGAGATTACTAATAATTATTCATCTTTACCTCTAAGAACATAATCTCTCTCTTGTTGTGACTTGTCTCCATGCATGCACACTGCTCCAAATCTGAAATAACATTTCATAAATACATAACTCACTGAACAGAAGTACTAATTATCTTTCGGTATAAATACTCACCCACAACTACGAATTATTTTAGCAATAGATTCTGCTTTACGTTTTGTGCCAACAAAAACAATGGTTTTGCTATCTCCTTCACCCGTTATATCTTGCAGTAAAAGGCTCAACCTGAAATTGTATTAAAAATTATATATAATTAGTAAGTAATTAATGATCAATAATTTACAAACAATGTCAATATATCAATATTTGAAATTTGGGCAAAATTTCGTTTCCACATACATTCACAAAACTCTTAAACTAATTATTATGGAACCTTAATAATATACCTCTAATGATGTGTTAATGTTTAGTAAGAAACTCCAAAGGCTGCTGCAAGAAACTATTTATGGTACTAATGGATTTTTTCCCCAGAACTAATTGCATAATCACTTCATTAAAAAAATATTTTTCAAAGACAAAAGAAAAGGTTTAAGTGATTATTATTATTATTATTATTATTATTATTATTATTATTATTATTATTATTATTATTATTATATTAGTTCTGGCAAAAGATTTAAGACTACAAATAAAATACACAAACTTATCATTTGTAGATCATTTATGAATGGTAAACCCAGCCAGAACCACCTGGTTAATTATTTAAAATCTCTACTTAAATTTTACAGCCTCTTCAATGTGTTGGGGCAATTAGCTATTTTGTGGGAAAATGGATTTCCCATTGAATCAGTATTAAATTTTATATGCAATTAAGTCAATGTTATTTCATCAGACATTTTTCTAATTTTTTTAGATCCAAGATTCAGAGTTTTAAAGCAAACCATTTACAAGATAAATTAGTGGTGCTACAAATTGCACAGACTTTCTCTTACTAGTTAGTTTCCTAATTTGGCCAGGTCTTAGGTTTTTGGATGTTGGATGCAAAAGTTTTTTGGCAACAATTTTTTTTACATTTTCCACAAATTCACAATTATCAGTGGAAAAAAAAAAAAAGAAAAAAAAAAAAGAAAAAGGAACTATGCCACCTTTAAATGTATATTTCACTTTATTCTTACCAGAAATTTAAAGAAAAAAAATTGGAGCCATTTTTGAGGAAATTTTGAAAATATCCTGAGACCTTGATGTACCCCCAAAAATTAATTAATGTTTTTCAAAATAGCAGAGCTTCGACTCAGGCCAGATCGACTAACAAAAAACTTCTTCAGTCCCAGATGACCCCAAAATGTGTATTCCTGTTAAAATGTCAGAATTGATTTTCTGCAGCATTACATAACTCTCTAGTATACGTATGTATATTACTCCGTATATACGTACATATACGACAAAGTAAAAATTGTATTGTAATAAGACAGATATTTGATTGATGAAACACTTGCATCAGAAGTCCTCAGCCTCGTGGAGAACTAGATATCCATATTAAACTAGTTTCAATTGTCAATGAAAGACCATGATGGAAACACCAGAGAGATTACACAAAGACAAAATTCTGTATCCCATCATCGGATGAACTTAACCCGTTTTTTCAATTTTTTAAATCTGAGAATTTTTTATATTGAGACCCGGAGGTATCCACAATTACTTTTTGAAACATTACAGATTAAAATAAATAATTCTATTAATACTGCTGTTGAGAACAATCATTTTACGAAAAATTATGATGCTTTGCTTTATAGATGACAAACATTGAAAAAATAGTTCTCCCTTCTTACTTGTGCTTTCAAAAACTTCCCCTTCCCCTTTTCAAAAACTTCCCCTGGCTCTCAAAACTCATTATTTCAACCGCTCTCACCAACATATGAAATTGATTTTGTCTGCCTGTGATCGTTAGCTTCAGAATGTAAATATAAAAAACATTTGTTTTGTGAGCACTCCTGTGTCTGGTAAGTTTTTCCTGTCATTATTTCTCAATTTTAATTTTGTATTGTTAATAATTTTTAATTTCCGCTATAAAATTTCAAAATTCAATTTTACAGCCCAATGATGGGGACAAATATCCTTGAAACTGTTACGGGCATGAATATAGAATAAATTTACATTATAAGAAAGTCTATTAAAAAAATAAGGACTCTAACCTTTCACTTAATCACGATTCATTATGACAGACTAAAAAAGGTGGAAATAATAAAAAGAAATATCATTGTAATTAACTGTATCACATACTCATATTTGTATACTAAATTGAATCTGTTTGACACTTTAATTTTAATTTAATCAGCTGTGAAGGACATTCGTATGTATATGGTATGTAGTAAGATGTGAGGGGATAATTCTCATTATTGCTCTGAGAAAGTATATTGAAAGTAATCGTATACTGATTGGCATGTGCTTGAGAGCTCTTGCCGCAGCAAAACAGCAAGAAGCGTTTCTATTTTAAATAATTTCTCAGAATCGTCTCGATGCCCCATTTTAACTTAAAAACCTATGTAGAACATTTTAAAAATTTCAATGGTATTTTTCAAAATTATTGAACTGTTGAGTTTTGGGAGAAATTAAAAAAAAATAAAAGATAAAAAAATATTATAAAAAAGTAATTATCTTTTGTTCTTTAATGTTGCAACATATTAAATTTCTGTCACAATTAGAACACAAGTTAAAAAGCAATGCCACAATATTTTCAAAAATGTTTAAAATTAATATAATCTCGAAAAATAATATATTGATAAAAAAGGAAAAACCGGTGTTTCATATTGTTGCCTATACTCTGCAGATAAAAGTTTTAAAATCTTGGACGCCAAGGTCACATTTTCCTTACATTTGAGCCATCTGACATGGAATGAATCAATTTCACAACTTTTCAACCTTTTCTTCCCTTATATTCCAATGTCCCCTGTGACACACAACACACCACATACTGTTTCAATGTAATATAATATCACTTCAGTGATCTAATACTGAAATGATATTTCTGAATTGCAAAACAAAACAAATTCTTGAAGTTTCTTCAAATATATTAAGTTATGAATTAGTCTCTAAATTATTTTCATTTTTATTTACTTTATTTATTTACAGAAGCCATTTTCCTCAATGCAATTCCAATGATGCCCAAGATATATGCTCAATATGTGATGATTTCTTATGTCTGCAGGACTCAAGAAATTGGTTGAAATGAATATGAATTGTAATATGTCCTTTTTTCAATAGCAAAGGAAAGTAGATAAAATTGTATACTGTAATACATTGATATGTTTTCGTTCGCAAGTAATAATGCAATATTATTTGTTTTATTAAAAATTGTTAAAATAAAACTTAATTTTTATTTCTGACTTTTATTTAAATATATTTGTGTGTGTAAGTATGCAATTTTATCGCCAGTTATCAATAAATCCCATATTCCCTCGAGGAGGACACAGCTTTAAAAAATGGCTCAATAAATAATAAATATTTTGTTCGGCATTTCCTTGATGCTGAGATATTATCTTTCAGAAAAATGATACAAACCAAATTAAAAAATTCAAGGGTTTGAGAAGGTTATGGAAATGGAAACTTTAATAATGATTTTACTCACTTTCCCTCTTTTTCATGTTCTTGACAAACATCAACAATTTGAAGAATGTTATGATTAGCTGACAATTGTAAAGAACCAATGTTTACTTGGATGTAGTCGCTCAGAAATTCCTCGGCCAAGTTTCTTACTTCTTTGGGCCAGGTGGCAGACCACATAAGAGTTTGGCGATCAGGCTGCAAGCAATTAAAGATGAAAATAAAGTGATATTAGTAAAAAACCAATCCATTACAACAAATTAACACAATGTGAAACTTACTCTAATTTGTTCAATAATTTTGCGGATTTGTGGCTCAAATCCCATGTCCAGCATGCGATCAGCTTCATCCAAAACTAAGTAAGTACAGCGCCGTAAATTTGTTGTTCCTCTTTCCAGAAAGTCAATCAATCTTCCAGGAGTTGCTATGACAATCTCAACCCCTCTTTCCAGATCTCGAGCTTGGGGCCCCTTAGGAGCACCGCCAAATAAACAAGTATTGCGAAGGTAAGATGATGATCCAAAATCTCTGGCAACTGTTTGAATCTGCTGAGCAAGTTCTCTAGTTGGAACCAAAATAAGAGCAATGGGTCCCTCCCCTCGCCTTAAGCGTTCTTGATGATTGATGTGTATTGTGGCAGGTAGAATATACTACAGGGGGAAAAAAAGTTTAAAAATTGTTGCAGAATCCTTTTAAGACATTTTTAGAGAAGCAATTGGTTTCTTATCCACTTACAGCCAGAGTTTTTCCTGATCCTGTCTGGGCAATACCAACCATGTCTCTTCCACTCAGAGCAATTGGCCAACCTTGAGCCTGAATTGACGTTGGATTAGCAAAACCACAGCGCCTGAAAAATTATCTCTGTGTGAAAAAGTATTTAAACGAAGCATTCTCTGTGAGAACTCAAATTATAATTAAAAAACAAGAGAAAATACAAAATACTTGTACATTATACATGTCATATTAATAATATTCAGCAACAGAACCGTATAAATAATATACCTTATTTCATTTGAAATATAATCAGGAAAATTTGCTTCTTCAAAAAACTGAATTGGATTAGGCATGTTAGCACCTTTAACAGTTATCTGTTGATTCCGACGATAATCATCCACTTCCTGACGTGATCTGAAAATAGTATTTTTAATGTTCACTATGTTCACTTCTGAAGGAAAATGTTTGTTTCACCTAAAACTTACCTGGACATAATATTAGAATGAGGAACATAGAAATTCTTTGAGAATGGGGACAATGATGTCAAATCCCATTGTGGCTTATTCAATACAGCCACCACACTTGGCTTTTTACCATTTTTAATAAAGTCATTGGTTCCATTTGTTCTTGGACCAGCCCTGAAACCGCCATTTCTGTTATCACCCATTCCAAATCTTCTATTTTCATTGTTGAAATTGCCACCCATTCTCGGCTTTCCAAATTGCATATTAGGTTGAGCCCTAGAACCAAAAATACTAGTGTTAAGGAACAAACAAATCTCACAGTAGAATAAAAGGCAGTGGGACTATCAGTGATGGAACTGCAATCTATATCATTGGAGTTCAGACATTCTAGATCACATTTTGTTTACACCCACACACACACATATATTTGTAAAGAGAATGATTTTGATGTCCCTCCTGTTCAGCTCTTAGTGAATGGATTTAAACAACTGAAGTACAAAGAGAAAGAGGCAGAGAGAGGGAGAGGGAGAGAGAGGGAGGTACAGAGAAAGTCTAGGAATGTGATTGGTTGACAGGATGTGGATTCAGAACTTCATGGGGTGTGTATAATTAATGTCATTCAGCGTTTAAATACACCGCAGGAATACGTATATTATTAAATGGTCGTACAGAAAAAATATACCACAATTTCTGTCCATGTTAACATATGTAGTGGAGCACATACTTTCTTGCCATTAGCAATGGTTAAGTAATTCTATTTATACCTCAATTTCTCTCCAAATTAATTTTTGTAAAACTCATTTGAAATCTTAGAACATTTGGCACCAAAAATAAGAATATTGCAAGAAGTAAAATAATTAAGTTAATGAATAATTAGCTACTGATAACATTGGCAAACAATTGCAAATAGTTCTAAAATATATAGTAGTAATTATTTAATACTATGGTATTGTAATATTCTACACATTTATAAAAGTGAAAGTTTTCATTACCGCATACAAAAAGCAGCTGTTATTATTGCCTTCTATTGTGTGGAATTACAACAATGGGTAACAACAACCAACAATGACCAATTATCTATTTGTTTTCACGTTTAACACAATTAAAGGATGTTATTAAAAATGAAACATGAAATAATATACCAATTCTAATTTATCATAGCACCCAACTGCATAAATTGGGAAAATGCAACGGAAATCTAACAATCTTTATTTCATAATTCATAATACCTAAATGATTAATTTGTAAACTTATAACAAAAGCTATCATGTTATTAAAAAAGAAATAAGAAATAATAAACACATGCTAACTTACGTAGCATATAACAGCTTCAAAACACTTAAAATTATGATCCCGAAAGCGCAGGATTTTCAGAGGGGGCAACTAATTTTGACACCCAATTACTCTAAAAATACTCACATGACCTTACTTAAAAATCTGTTTTTGAGGAACACATTTTATTAGGGGAAAAAAGTGAATCTTCATAATTGTAGTTGTAGAAAGACGGTGAATTTTTTTTCAAGTTCACAATTTCTGAAATATCGGTTTTTAACCAACACAGTCTGCACAGTCAAATCTGCCCTATTGACAGTCTGCACACTCAAACCTACCCTATTCTCTTAAAACGTCCTCCAGACTATCCAACAACAAATTTTAATCAAAATAGATGGTGTCATTTTTTTGAAAATTTTCCAGAGGCTTCATGTAACCCACAAAATTAAAATATGTTTCAAATTCAAGGGGCCTGAATATCAGCCAGATCATCTGAACGGTTTAGCATCTACCTTTGTTCACAGGCGAACAATAGTTTTGTTGACGGACGGGTTGACAGATTGCTGGGCATACGTTTTTCCGTCAATCGATTTCTCGGATTCAAGGACCTACAAAATGTATTCTGGCTACACCGTGAGAGGATTTTTCTTCTAAATTTAGAAATGATTTATCCATATTTTCGTTAACAGTCCCTATAGAGATTTTCTGCCGTAAAAGTTTAGTAAACAAACTGAACTTACAACACAAACGGCTCCAATTTTTTCTTTAAACCTTCGGTAGAGATAGCATGGAATGTACTCTATAAGGTAACATAATGCCATATTGCTCTATTCTTTTTTTTTCACCCTTTTTCATCAATTGCAAATGACATTGTTTTTACTATCCTATCACATTAAAATTTACACTAGTGGCGATTTGTTTACATTATTGCATTTACGACTAAACGTTCTTTATATTATGTCTTATGAACTTTCTCAAAAACTCCAGTTTTCTGTGAAAATAAGCTCAAATAAGCCTATTTTAGATTCTGTTGCCTTTGTTCTTTCCATTTTGCCTTTTCCTTCTTTATTAGAAGATTTTCATTTTGCCTTTTTACCTTCTGATGCTTTTCTTTGCTCATTATTTTGCTATATTTTTCTCCTGGCAGTAATCACGAACAAGTTGGACATACTTAGACACACACACACACAATATATTTATATTACACACCAGCAAGCCTGGACAACTCGAAGGCGCGGTAAACAAGATTTGTTTACTTTCTCCTAGATGCACTCGGGCTTTCACTCCCGAGCAATCCCATTCTACTTTTTTATATCTATATCTATATATATATCTCTCTCACACACTCACTCACTCACTCACACTCTCACTCTCACTCACACTCTCACTCACACTCTCACTCTCACTCACACTCTCACTCACACTCTCACTCTCACTCTCACTCACACACACACACGCATGCACTTTGGCTAGAATAAATACCTTTTTAATCCCTATTTTAGTAAAAATAAATCTTTTTTGCTTTTCTATTTTAGGTCAAATAAGTGCCTAAACTCCCGAGTTATAATGATTAGTGTTGCATTCATAGATAAACTGTGCTTTAATTTGTTAAAAGCTGCTCTTCACCAAACTTGAATTCATTGCCAGTTCTGAGCATGTCACTTAATGGCTTTGCAATTGAAGCACGGTCCTGGATGAATTTTCTTAAGTACCCAGGGAATCCTAGGAAACTTTGTAAAGTAGAAACAATTTTCGATTCGGGGAAATTTTGAAGTTTTTTCTGACGATGGTTGAATTGTTCCATGATGAATTTGTAGCACAGAAAGTGGACTACTCGTTTCAAGAACTAACATTCATCCAAATTTATCTCCAATCCCTAGTCCTTAGCAGTATTCAAAACTCAGATTAGCCTTTGAGTAGCGTCCTCGCTGGAATGATATCATCCATGTGGATAAAAAGCGAGCCTTTCCTGCTAAGCGTCCAAAACACTGAATCTAACTATCTATTTCCGATAAAGGAGCCACATCGCGAATGAAATATTCAGTCCTTTCGATATCCCCTGTCTTAAGTGTTACCCAACTGTACTCTCACAAATTCTCAACAGGTGCAATCCAATTGTTTAAATATTCAGCTGCAGTTTGGTACAATGTACATACTTTTTAAATTTTCCAACCTCTGATGAAAAACTTTCCTTTTCCAATTTTGGAAGAATTGACCTGACAACTCATATTATGAAACTATCTTCACATTTGAAAATTAATTAACTTTTAAATTATATTTATATATATACTATATACAACCACACACCAGAGGTGGGAAGATATCAAGAGGAACAAATCAAACACTTGCCAAACACTCAAATAGGATGCTCACTGACAACAAAAAATAAATAATTAATTTTTTTTAAATCCACGCATGGAGGAAAAGATGTAGTCATGAACTCAAACTTTGCTCATTGTTCAGAGGGTGTTATATGTGAGAAGATAATATATATAATATATATATATATATATATATATATATATATATAAGTATACCTATATATATATATATATATTATATATAACACACACACACACACAAATAATTTAAATATTGAAGTTTAAAACAAGAATATTCTGCTGAACTTCACAAACCAAAGGAAGAAAGTGGCGGGCTTCATTTCCTTGTTTCAAAACAAAGTCATGGTAGGAATTTATGTTTTTCTTTTCTTATTTTCGCATTTTTCTAATTTTTTCCGAAATAACCAGGAATGCTATAAAATGTAATGTTATATCGAACTTTTCAAGTAACGGGTTAAGACAAAGTTAAATCATTAAGCCGACAATTCAAGTACTGTTTAAAATGTCTTGCTGAGTGCTATTAAAACATTTACGGCTGTATTATCACTCACTTTAAAAAGTTCATTTCAAAAAACTAGAAAACTGATGTCAGATATTATTGGCGTTCTTTATTCGGAATAAATGTAAATAAATATCCTTCAATGTATTAGAACATGTAGCGTTATTTGCCATTCTCTCCTCCCTACTGCATGGACGCGACGGCGAGTTGTTCTCGATAATGACGTCATGCGCAGAAGCCATTGCGCATCCACCCATTTTGCTTTACCTCATATTCCTTGCGTTAGCTCTTGTTCCCTTGCAAGAACAGCCACTCAAAAAAAGCCTGTTACATAGTACATGAACGTATGATTTATTCGCGCTTATTTTATAAATTAATGCAAACCCCACGGAATATATTATGATAAATTTAAAATTGTTACCAGCACTTTATGTTAATTAGTCATTGTCACAAAACGAGATATTATGGCGTCCCGTTCAAGAAAAAAAACTGGGGGGGGGGCTCAGAAAAGGAACTATAGCGGCTAATGCGGGACGTCTGTTCACCTTGAGTAGCGAGAAAGTAAAGGCTTAGTGAAGAATATCTACGGTATATTCTTAAAATAACTACCACGACTATTTAAGTAGTTTTGAAGCAGTAACAGTAGCAGCGGAATTCAATTCTACAGTAGGGAGTTATTATATCCTCGACGTTAAAGCAATCGAAAGCATTAGTGATATGATGGAAAGATATGAGCAAATTATTCCGGGGCACCGATTTTTGCTCGTTCAGCTTAGCACCTGTTTGCGTCACGAACCACAGCGACATTTTGAAAGTGGCATGCAGTGACAATTTTCAACAGTATCCAACCAAAACTAACACGATTAAGGTGTAAAAAATGCAATATTTAAAATAAATGGTTCACAGATGTTTCAATGAGTTGAAACAATATGATAATTTTGGTATCTGTCTTCATTTAAAATTCCCGTTGTTCTTGTGACAAACTTGTGTCTGAAGCCCATTGGCTGAACTCTGACACGCTGCGCAAAAGCACCCCCTCTCGGGTGAAATCGAGGAAGAAGGGCGTTTCTGCACGTCTTAGCGGGCAGCAATGACTGCAATATTGATCTGCGCGTATGCAGTTGCACAAAAGTAGCGAGTTTGTGCACGCCTTAGCGGACAGG